AAGAGATTTTGAGTGGGTTTAACACTCTTTTCAAAAATTCTACAACCTTGAGTCATACGCCTCCCAAACCGGTTGCATGCCCAAGAATGGTAGCAATGATGGGGTGGGGTCTCAAGTTCAACATTATCAAGAGTCAAAACTCTAACACGAAATCATCATCTTTAAATAAATTCCAGAGAAGAAACAAAACAAATAAGATTCTGATTTCAACGAGTTTACAAGATGAGAAAACTGATTTAAAGATGCATGCAAGATTCTATCATCCGAGATTATGATCGGACCTCACATGCAAGAAATTTCTCTTTCTTTCTTAGAGATTAAAGAATCATGGGTCACTGATTATCATCCCAACGAAAACACATGCAGGTCTTGGATGAATAATCTCTCCTCTTCAATCCCAAAATTTTACTTAAGAATCAAGTAGGGAGAAGGATAAAGACTTTCGGATATCTAAAAGAAAATAGGACAACTTTAAAACATACYTTTTCTTGACAGGTTGATACGATCGAGTCTCAAGAACAACAAAAGTCTTGAGTTTTGCAAGGAGGTTTAGAATCAGTTGGAAGGTGATGGAGTTAGAGAGAGAGAGAGAGAGAACGGAATAACTGGAGTTTTGGAGAATGAAGAATTTTCAAAAGGAAAGAGGTATTTATATGGGGCTTCTAGAGAAGGAATGGGCTGGCCTTTAAATGCCCAAGCCCAAGATGCTTTTATTTTCTAAATACTAGACCCCAATAATTTTAAATAAACAAAACAATTTGGCAAAAGATTCTAATACTCCACTCTTTTAAAATTAATTGGCAGCTTAATATAAAAAGATTGGACTTAAATATCAACTTTATATTTATGAAACATTTCAAGACTATTTGGCATTGCATAAACTAACTTGGTTAGCTACCCGTCGAAACATGATCTAACAAACTAATCTTGGGAGATAAGCAAGATGATCTCAGATCATCGAGGCTAAATCCTAGAAAGGCTTAGHTTTCAATAAAGATCCTAAAATAAGGTACTAACTTGAAATCCCAAAAATGCAGAATTGTCACATTCTCCCCAAGCCAGAAAAATTTCGTCCCGAAATTTAATCGTCAAAATTTAAATCATGGTTGGCCTTTTGAGAACAGGTGGGGATACTTGCTTTTCATGAAGTCTTCCCTTTCCCACGTATACTCTGGTCCATGCTTGGAGTTCCAATGAACTTTTAGTATAGGGATCCTGTTATGCCTCAACTGCTTAACTTCTCTATCCATGATTTCTAGGGGTTTTTCCATAAAATATAGTTGATCGCTAATTTGCACGTCCCCCAGTGGCACCACTTGAGTTTCGTCTGATAAGCATCTTTTAAGATTCGATACATGGAATGTATTATGGATAGCGCTTAACTCCGAGGGCAAATTTAGCTTGTATGCCACTGGCCCAATCCTTTCTGCTATTTCGAAGGGACCAATATAATGGGGACCCAACTTGCCTCTATTTCCAAAACGCATCACTCCTTTCCACAGTGAGACTTTTAGAAAAACTTTATCACCTTTTTGGAACTCTAATGGTCTCCTCCGATTGTCGGCATAGCTTTTCTGACGATCCCTTGCAGTCCTGAGTCGATTTCTGATTACCATAATCTTATCGGTAGTTTCTT